GTTCCAGATGAAGGATTTTGCCATACCAAGGAAGGTCATTTTTGGATCCCTGCCACCAGCCCTCCTGGCCCGGCCGGTTCCCCACCTCCTGCTAGCCCCACTCTCCTATCAAGCCTGCTGGGCAACCATTGCTGCCATGGCTTTGGGACCCATCGGGTGGCCACACGCCATGACTCCCTGCCCCACCAAGCTACCGCAGGGCTCCCAGTCCTGCTGGGCAGCCATGAACGAGATCTCCCAATCCCGTTGGACATCTAACTATGGGAAGCCCACTGCCCTGCTGGGATCTTTGCCACTGGCCCTCCACCGGGACTCTCTGGTCCTGCAACATTTGAGACAGACCATGGATGTTGCCAGACCAGAGAATCCTGGTGTCATGATCATGAGGGTTAGCCAGCAACCTAGGGACTACGGGGTTAAAATACCTAACCTAGGTAGAGTTGGCCGATAGGAATGTAGGTAGGAATTTCAAACTGGGACAAAGGAATGTTTGGTTTCTCCCTCCTTTGTCCTGGGCAGTTTCTCCCCAGCTACTGAGGGAGTCAGACAGAACGTGTCCCTCCAAGAAAAGAATTCACTTTCTGTAAGTAGGGTAAAGTTTAGATAAATCTGTTAGGTTTTATTGTTTTATGGTTTGGGAAATGGGATCTGATGTCTGTGCATTTAAAAATGGGCTTTGCTCTCTTTTGTAACTAAGTTCTAGGCCCATGGTGGAGTTCCTCCACCATGAGTATTACTTTGTGACTTTTCCATCTAGTCATGATGTTTGCAACAGGAATATTGTGATAATAAAAGTTATTTCTCTTTTCTTTTATTAACCTGTTATTGGTTAATTTTTATGTCCTGGTTTTACTTTAGGGGGTGAGATTTCCCAAGTAGTCTTTCCCTGGTTTCTTTATGATTACTTGGGTGGTGGCAGCGGAGTTTTTATCCCCAAAATCTACGTTAAGATTTTGGGGGGGAAGTTTTTTTTAACCAAAGCCTGGAAAGATAAGGTTTTGGGGTTCTTATGTGGGCCCCCACTTCTGCATTTATTCTTCCAGAGTGGGGAAGGAGCCTTGACATGTGCCTCCTGCTGCCCTTACTTCCTCTATCTTTGCAGAAGTGGGGGCCTGCAAAAGTACCCCAAAACCTGAGCATTTATGTAGTGCTGTTTGAAATAGAGCTATGTTAGCATCAACAGCAGAACTCTTAGGGTATGTCTAGACTACATATCTCTGCCGATGGAGGCATGTAAAATAGGCTACCCGACATAGTCAATGAGGCGGGGATTTAAATATCCCTGGCTTCATTAAAATAAAAATGGCCGTCACGTTGTGCCGGCTCAGCTGATCGTCGGCATAGCGCGCAAGTCGAGATGTGGATCGGTCAACAGGGGAAGCCTTTGTCGACCGCTCCCTTATGCCTCGTGGACCAGCAGGGTCCATATGGTGTGAAACGCTCTAGTGCACACTAGAATTTATTCCCCTTTAGAGCACACTAATGCACCATGTATACAAGACTTTTTTCTACCCTACTCACCAGAGGTGTATTGATGTCCAAGGCTAGAACAATTTCTTGAAAAAAACCAAAGCTGACTCCCTGTGCTATCAATCTCTTATGTTAATAATCTTGAATAAATTAACTAAAGTTTACATCTACAAAACTAAAAATGGCCTCTGTGGCAACATGGCTTTGCTTTCTAACATATAAGAAGTAGGAAAGGCTGTGGCAAATTCTCTCCTAGCATACATGGAACACTGGTTAAAAATGTTATCACATTAGGGACTGCTGGGTTGGAGAGCATTAATTAAACTCACATTCTTCCCTCCGCAGGGATATATATGAAAGGCTTGTGGTTGACACAGGGTTCTCTGTGGGGATACCTGGGAGGAGAGGCATCTAGCCACCACATTATCCTCATAATATTGTGTAGTGTTCCCTCTTTGCTTTTCTGGTGTGGTATGGAAGCTGAAGAAAATTTATTGAATAGAAAGCAGTGTGTTTAACAGACAGGCAACCCACATATGCCTTAATTTGGCAAAAAGCTAGTCTGTGAAAATGATAAAGACAGACTCAACACACTCATTTTCATAAGTTTTATCCCTTTCTCAGTTCACAGGCTGGCTAATGGGAAGATCTTTATCTATCTACTACATTGGCTTTTTAATTTGGCAGGAACATCATTTAGAACGTCTCCTACCTTCCAAGTGCTTTCTTCCTTTTCACCATCAACTTACCTCATCTCTCCATCCTTAATGGCATTCTTCAGCAAGAGCTTTACACACATCCTAATTGCCTACACACTTAACACCATACACGAATACAGAAGCATTGCAAGAGAAGTGATTCAAATGGAGTGTGAGATCACCAAGGAGTGTGAATTAATCACATTATCAATTATTTTCCATAAAAGGGATTTCCTCAGTTCAAACCCCAAGGCATGAAATTAAAGTTTGACTGTCAAAGGTGGAATAAATTTTCCAGCTGATTGATTTGTGCAATGATACTTGTGTAATTTGGCAATTAATCAAGGGAGTGTAGCAAGAAATAGAAAAAATCTTATTTTTTCTATTCACTTTCTAAGAGTTCCTTATTCTGAATAGTCATTATTAATAGCCACCTCCTCTGAGTTAATATATATTTGGAGCAACTTAGTGCTTTGGGTCATCTATCTGGCACTGTTTTCAGCAGCTGAGCTTAACATGCTCAAAATATGTATTGTCCAGGTAGAAATATTACCTCTGAGCTCATTCGTTATTGACCAGGATTTAAGAAAGGCTTGGATACAATGTACATTTCTTGTGAAAAAACAAAAAGGGTCTGATTGGAACCATTTTCCAACATGAAGTTAATGGTACATTGCATGGGACACATTTCCTTCTCTCTCTCACATGAATCATGGTGTTGCTTTGCACATACACATATAAACTCAATTACATGCCCTGGAAAGTTCTCCCCATAATGTCTTGAAACAATAACTTGATTCTTAACACAAAGAAGAAATAAAAAACACAATAATTAAGTAGGAAACATCCACATGCATAGACCACGTGAGAAAAGGAAAGGAAACACACCCAAATTTCATGAATCACACAGAAGCAAGATGCAAGAGTGACTGTGGGAAACTTTTCTACTGGTAAGGAAAGCTGTTTCTCACCGTTCTGAACAAAGTGGCTGAACTAAGAGCATCTGATTGGCTATGCCCAAATACCCTCCTCCTCATCCTATTGGTTGAGAGATGATAAGGGGAAGAAGCCCCAGAGCAGCATGGGAATGAAATAAAGACTTGGTTAGTATTTAAAGTACAGGCATAACTGTGAAGTAGTACTAATAGGAAAAAAGTGGTCTCCAACTCCCTGTGTCCTCTGCTCTGCTGTTTTCCAATTACTTCACCATTGGAAACAGCTTTCTTAATTCTCTTTTAAACTGTGATCAATTATTCAGAATTTGTTTACATAAATTGCTATCTTATATACATTCTTTTGGTTCTTAACCTGTTCATGCTACCAATGCCTTCATTTTCAGTCAGGTGTGTCATATGCATTTGGAAAATACTCTTGTTTCACTACAACATTTCAGCGTGCAAAATAGCAGATACTCTTCTTCTCACACGGAAACAGAGATTTGGATACCACTGTTTTGAACTGCAATCTTGATAATCCTTTTCTCATAAGAAAATACGGCTGACACCTGCAAAGAGGGTCCTGGAGGCCTCAAGCCACTCATTCACAAGGTTCTTCATTTACAACTCCAAGAAATTAGGGAAGAGGAGTGAGGAAGGTGGTTAAGGAGTATGAACATTTTATACTCATTTCTCTGTCTGCAACACTTTTATCCTTTTCAGAGCAGTGAACACCATTTCTTCAACACCTTTTAACATTATGATTTTAAGAAGGAGTCTGGTGTGGAGATATATATATATATATATATATAGGTTAACTGGTTAAGAATAATGTTTAACCTGTTAACCAATAAAAAAGGGGTGGGTGGAGGAACCACTCTAACCCAGCTGGTATGGAGCAGGCCCCTGCCACAGACAGGGACTGCTTCAATTGGGCTGCAGCGCCCCCACCTCCAGCCCTCACTTGTTAACCATTCACATCCAAGTGTGTATGTGTTTAGACTCCTCCATTTTCTACTTTCATTCCCCTGGAACTGCCATGTTACAGTGATTCATTCTTCAGCAGAGCAGGATGGTGATCCAGCTCCCTTTAGAACCCATCAATGCAGCTTATAAATCAGCCAGAGGATTGAGAAAGGTCGCAATCTCTCAGTCTAGTGAGCAATTACAGTTTCTGAATGTTTTAATTAATCTGGAACACATGAGGTTTCAATATGACACTTATAATTAGGCTGACAGCCTCTGTTACCCAAGGGATGGGTATCAAATACATGGCTGATCTTAGTCAATGACATGTGGGGCTCAACTATGCCTCAGAAATGGTAAACTGATCTTCTTTCAGTTCATGGCCCTTTGAGCTCAGGAGCAACCTGTGCTCATCTCACACATACAGGCTGGATTTCCTTCTGGGAAATGCAAGTAATTGACCACACACAATCCAGAAACCTGGAAGTTGATCCTAACCAAGATTTTCTGCTACCCGCAGAGAGAAACTGTTCAGGACCCTTCTTATTAGAGGTAATTATTCTCACATGAGTTACAGCAAGAGTGATGAAGCCACTCCAAGCACTTCAGAACATGTGACTTGCACTGAAATCTGAATGGGCTAAGCTCCCACCTTTCATTTCATGGGATATTTAAGACATTAACATTCCTTTGTCTCCTCTTCACCTCACTAAAAATAACCCAGCATTTGGGAGCATCAGTGCATCTTGCAAGGATCTTCAAGGAAGCCAGCAAAAGAGCTGCAACCATTTCTGTCTTCTAAGTGTACTCTGGAATGTTGGTTTTGGTCCCTGATACTTCAGGCATATTGTGGAAAGCTTTATATGACTAAAAAATAATCAGGCCCAGTCGTTAAAAGTCATTTTAAAAGACAAAAATAGAGAAGTATTACCTGGTCTGGAGAAGGTTTGTGGTTGGTTTGGTTGGAATGGGATGAGGATTTGAGGTGGTCATCCTCATAGTTATCTGCCATCAACTTCATGCGATTCTGAGTCTGTGAGGGAAAAAGAATGAAAAATTCAGTGTACTCAGATGAAAGTAAATGTAAGTGCTAAAATGCAGAGTGAAATAGCCAAGGAAATGCATCTTAGAACACTGTGCACTATCCTGTGCATTCCAGACAAAGCCCATGAAAATAACTGATATTTAAAGTCCACAATAAAAACCAGTTAGGTATCTTCTCATAATTGTTGTTCTTTAAGATGAGTTGTTCATGTCTATCCCAATTAGGTGTGTGCGTGCGTGCATGCATGTAAATGGTGGCTGGATTATTTTCCCATAGCAGCACCTGTAGGGTTGGTCTGGGTACCCCCAGGTGCCTTCTTGGTGCCCAATATAGAGCCCTGTGGACCTGCTGCCTCTTCAGTTCCTTCTTTCCAGCTACTCCAACAGAAGGGTGGGAGGGTGGGTACTGGAATAGACAGGAACAAAGAACAATTACGAGACGGTACATAATCACTTTTTCTTTGAGTGCTTGTTCATGTCAATTCCAATTAGGTGACTCTCAAGCATAAGTTTAGCAGGTGAGGTCAGAGCCAACCAGTGATTGCAGCACCCCGTCCTCTCTGACTTGCTGTGTAATAGCATAATGTGAGGCAAATATATGGACTATGATGCTTCTCTACAGATCTTCTGAGTGGGAATCTGTGTGAAAAATGCAGTGGAAGAAGCTTGTATTCTAGTGGAGTGCACGGTGATTGGAGATGCCGGAACTCCTGCAAGCCCATAGCACCAAAGCGGGAAGAGTCACAGTCAATACACTGCTGCTAACCGTGACTGGAGTTGTCAGACCCTCAGTCTGGCATGCTGCACTACGTAAGTGCCATCAGCCATATGACCTAGAAGGCTACTGCAGTTTCTTGCCGTGGTGGCGGGAAACCACCTGAGACCTTGAATGATATCTACTATGTCCTGAAATCTTGAGTATGGCAGGTATGCCTGGCTTGTGTCGAGTCCAAAACTACCTTCTCAAAGGAGACAGAGTGGATTTTTCCTTCTTTATTAGGAGGCCCAGGCTTTCGACCTGAAGCAGCCCTTGATCAGCTGTCATACGGGAAAGACCTGTATTTGATACCTGCCTCAGAATGCCGCAACAACTGCCATGCAGTTTGTGAAGACTCAAGGTGCCACGTCCAGGCCAAAAGGTGGGGGGACTATAAACTGGTAGAAGGTGCTGTTTACCATGAGCCTTCCTACAGTGAGCGACTGAGATATGAAAGTACATGTCCTTTAAGTCAAGGGTGACATACCAGTCCACTGGATCCAGAGAGGAAATAATGGAGGCAGTGAAAGCATGCAGAACTTGAGTTTCTTTACAAACTTGTTGAGATCCCACAGGTCTAGAATGGATCTGAGTTCACCCTTGGCTTTCAGTATTAGGAAATACTGACAATAAAAACTCTTGCCCCTGTGTTCCTGAGGAACCTCATCCACTGCTCCTAGAGATAGGAGTGACTGCACATCCTGAATTGCTCATGAGAGGGATTTCTGAAGAGGCGAGGGGTAGAAGGGCAGAGGGAAGAGAACTGGATAGAGTATCTCATCTCTACTATGCAGTAAGGTTGTTAAGAGGCAGGTAATTGGGTAATTGTATCATTGATACATATTGTATAGACAACACCATTAGTCGATAAGGGAAGGTGCTCAGAAGGAGCTATCCCCACTGTGGCTCTACAGTTTAAATGCAGTAAGAGCCAGGGGCTCAGGCAACCCATCTTCTACTACATTTAAACTGCAGAGTCATAGTGGAAGTAGCTCCTACACCTGGCACAAGACGGAACTGAGCCAGGCTTGCTCAGTCCCAGCTCGTGCTGGGTCTAGCAGCCCGTTTCTATGGGAGTCCCAGCTCCAGAGCTGCTGGAGCAGCCTCTGTTCATGGTGGCCGGGACTGGCTATGGACAGGGGCCCTATTCATGGCCAGCCCAAGCTGCCGCAAACAGAAGCTGCTCTGGCAGCAGCCCCTCTCTGCGGGGTTCTAGCAGTGAGCTGGGACCACCCCCACGGACAGGAGCTGCTGTGGCTTTCAGGCTGATTCTTATCTAATATAGAGGCAGCAGGGGTGGAAAGGAAATGTGAGTAGTTGAGACTTGACTACCTGATAAGCCTAGGCTTATTGGGTAGTCGACTAATTGACTACTCTTTTACATCCCATCCCTACTATTCAGAGCACCCATCAGTCTGACGTGACACAGGGCCTCGCATGATAGAAAAGGGATAGCTGCAAAGAAAAGTTAAGGTGTATTGGTTCCAGTGGAGGATCTAGTATGCTGGGCTTGATCATGCCTTCAAAAGGCCTGTTTTGGGCCCAAAGACTGGCCAGAACCCTGACTAGATGACCCTCCTATTTCTCCTCCAAATGCTGTCCTGTTGGTTATGGGGGAAGAACTGCGGAGGACGTTGAGGCCTAACATACTTGTGCTATGTCACTGGTTTATGAAGACCCAAGTACTTGAGGGTGGCTCTGGAGTCTTTGAGAACATGTAGCCTCTTATTTGCCAGCTGCAAAAACAGAATGGCACCCTTAAAGGGGAAGTCCTATATAGTCTGCTGTATTTCATATGGCAGATCCAAAACCTGGAGCCAGGAGGCTCTCAGGGCCACTCCAGTAGCCATAGCTCCTGATGCGGTGTCAGCACTATCTGACATACGTCCTGAGCTTCTCTACAGGCGTCAGCTTATCCTTCTTGATCAACGTGGAGATTTCCACTTGGGAGCCTGAGGGAAGCAGTTTTGTGAACTTAGCCAGTGCAATAGATGTACAAGTATCTATTAAGAATGACCTGCTGGTTGCAGCACCCCCTACAGAATACACTTTTCTCCTGAACAGGTTAAGCCTCTTAACCGCTGTATTTTTGGAGGACGGTCCCTGAAACTTTTGTCACTCATGCTGGTTAGCTGTGTCCACCACAGGGGAGTCAAGGGATGGGTGGGAATACAGGTGTCCATATCCCATAGAAGGGATGAAGAAACACCTCTCATTGCACTTGGCAATGAGCACAATGGAAGTAGGGATCTTACTATTGTCACTTATAGTTTTGATAAGTGGCAAAGCAACCTGGGAGGCTCCAGAAGGGGTTAAGACGTACAGCACTGGGTCTCTCTCTTTGTTCACCTCCTCTGCCTTGATGCCCAGGCCCTGGGCAGCTCTGCATAGCAACTGCTGCAAGATCCTAATGTCCTAAAGTGGAGAGGGTCACTGTGGTGCCTGTGAAAGCCTTGTATGGAGAAAACAAGGGTGTTAGGGTTGGGACATGCTCCCTGCCATCTGCCACCAATGGGTTGCGTTGTTTTCAAGGGTCTTGAAATTGTTCCAATTCTGACAATGCATCTATGGACGCTAAGAGCATGGAGTGGATACTGATGTTGACACCACCACCTGGTGTTCTGTCAGCGCTGGCCCTAGCCTATGCAGAAGAGGAGGAGGCAATGCCGACAATGGTGCCTCCTCAGTAAGTCCCATCCCCATGAGAGCCAGCGCTAGTATTGGTGCGAAAGGGTCTTGGACCTGAGACCACAGTTGGTGCCAGATTGGTGAGTGGATCTGGTGCCAGTGCCATCCTCAAAGGTTTCAGCATGAGGTGAAGTGCCAAAGAGAGAAATGCCGTAGAGGGAGGGACAAACATGGCTGAGGCTACTGAGGATGGGACTGAGTGATGTCCTTGGAACCTACCCTGGCCTTGATGGAATAGACAATGAGGTGCATTCTTCCACTGAAGGAGTCATGGCGCCTGGGGTTGTGGACAGTCTCATCTCAACCTCAATCCCCTGCTCAAACTCATTCTGGATTGGTAGGAATCCGACTCCAACCTTGAGGTCTCTGACACTGAAAATCAGGGAGGTGCCAAGCTTCCAGGCACCGAACAATGGGAGCTCGGAGAACAGATGGGCTCCCTGTCTGGGTGTGAGGGTGCTGCTGGACTTGGGGAGGGGAAATGCCTTGACATCGTAGCTGGCTTCCGTCTTGATTGTTCCTATGAATACATGCATTCTACCAGTGATAGGGATTTCTCTCCCATTTGGTGGAGAATGGTGCCATTAGGTGCATCAAGTCTTTAGCCACCATGAAGGCCTCTGGCACCGAAGGAAGTGGCAGATACTGGTCCAACATAACTTGTGCATATTGGGGCTATGGATGTGACTGCCCTGCCTTTGGGGGGATTTTGAGGAGTGGCCCGCTTGGGGTTGCACCTCCCTTGAATTTGCCAAGGTTTAGCCCTGTGGCTTCATCCTCTTCTTGAGGCACTGGTGAATGAAAGTGGTGCCTCTTCGATGGTCCCCAAATGGACCCGTGTCAGTTCTGAGGGGTGTCCTTCAGAGCTGAACTAAAAGATGGTGCAGGTGCGCTCTGCACCGACAAAGACGTGCTTGGCAGTGGGTCTCCTGGGCCCAGGTCCAACTGTGGATATAGAGCCACCGTCATTAGAGTATCTTTAGTTACTGCTCCCTGTCTTTTAGCATTCTAGGTCATAGCAACTGCAGGAATGATCATGCTGGTCACCTCACCCAAGAACTTCAAGCAGGAAGAGTGAGGGTTGCTCTTCCCCATGCACTTTGCGCAAACCACAACGCTCTTGAATCCTGTAGATTGTGGCATGTCATGACTTCAGGAGTCCTAAGTTGTGGAGAAGTTGGCACAATTTAGAGCATGAGTTCCAGGATGTTCCAGTCTACTATCACCAGGGATAAGAAGGAACTGAGGAGGGGACAGGTTGGCAGGGCTCTATATAAGTCACCATGAAGATGCAACTCCAGGGGGCACCCCTACTGACCTTATCGGCTCTGCTATGGGAAAATCTTCCGGCCACTGTGCACATGCACACACCTAATTGGAATTGACACGAACAAGCACTTGAAGAAAACCTATATTTATACAATATACTATAGATTAAGTATAACCACAGAGCAAAACGAAAAATTAACTGGCACATACAGACCATTTCACTTCACTATACAGCTAAATTAACTTTGAAATTAATTTTCTTCTCTTCTGAGTTG